TATAAGATCATAGTCCCTCGATGGCGCTATTCAAAGTTGCCTTACAAAATGATCTTGGTCCCTCAAAAATGCTAAGATACTTTGCAAACATTGTTAATCATGGTTATAAGATGACCCACGCCCGTCCCGCTTACATCCAAAGATAGGGTTGCTTACCAAATCAATGGTAAGACAACAATGTCAAAGGAATAGAAACTGCATAAGAAAGACATTTTGAGTAGGTAGATTACTTCTAGTTACTTGCTCTATTTCCAAACAACTATCCTTGCTATTTTCAAAACAAACACACACATTTCAAAAACATCTTACAAACATTGAAAACATTTTCAAAAGACAAACATCTTTGTATACATTCTTACGAACGAGAATCATTACAAAGATTGCCTAAACAATGACCTCTTTTACAAAATACTTTCAAAACCACACCAAACACATTTTCAAACAACAAAAGCAAGTGATCTAGCAAGTAACTAAGAGCCCATGGAAAATCATGGATGAAAAGGGTGCTAATACCTTCCCTTTTCATAATCTACCCCCCGAACTCAAGAAAACATCTTAAAGGTCTTTCCTATGCTTTTTCACCTTTCCTTTTGGATAAAAGAAAAGGTGGCGACTCTTGCTAACCGCAACATTTGCGATAAAATGCAAAACCCTCAAGTCAGTTTTCCCGCCGTATCACACAAGGTCTAACATATATGACATACAAACAGGGAAATAATGCACTAACGCAATAATGATATTGATGAATACTAGAAAATTAAAAGGAGACAAGGGAAGAAGAAAAGATATACAGAGATATATAATGGTTCAACATTCGTCCTTGTTTTACCTACTTAACTCTTAAATGGTGTTTAAAACCATTGGAAAATAATCATGTTCTTCCAGTATTTTAATAAGTTTGATACAAGCACTTTTATTACAACGAACTATCACATTATACTTTTGTCTGTTGATACAAACACTCATACTACTAACAAATACAAGACCTTTAAAGATCTTGATCTAATAATCTTGTTATCCATAATAACCTGCTCAAAGTATTCATGTGTGGTAATCCACTTGATTCCACCGATTTCTTGTCTGATTAATTGTCATTAGATAAGTGTTGATTGTATAACTCCCTCAACACTCAATCTAGAGATAAAGGTCTACAATGATGGAAAATGACTAAGGATGAAGATGATGAACAATGTCATACTATCTCACTAACACTCTAATTCACAAGGGGTTAGTCAAGGGATTAGATGTGTGTGAAAGAAGAACACGCATACACACAAGGTTCTATATAATTTTTGGATGAATGAGTCAGGTTCTATCTAATTTTTAGATAAATGAGTCTTGATTCTTGATTGATATCATGATCTCGATTAATAATGAACAACACTACAAGAATAATCAACTCACTCTCTTTAATTCATTTAAAACAACAACATATTGCATAAGAATAAGATGTAACAAAAAGAATTAAATCTTACATGGATTAACACTTAAGAAGTTATTCTAGGAAGAAGATAAAGATTCCTGGTGCTAGGAATAGACACACTAAATAAGAGAAGACAAATTGACATTTTTGTCTCTATGGGTTTTTTCCACATAGTTTCACACTTGTTGTTTTGTGTCAAAGAAATAACTATTTAAATCTAAGATGGAAAATTGAATTTTTGAAGCTATGATTTGAGTCAAGAAGAAATTATTATTCAAATCACTATGTTTTGTGATTCAAATCAAGTTATATGCTTCATTCGAGATAATTTGAGCAGAGCACAAATTTGGCTTCATGGAGACATTTGATTCGTATTAGGAATAACACTTGATTCGAGTCACATGAGGTTGTGATTTGAATCAAGTTAATTTGGTGATTCAAATCAATTTATCCAGAGGAAAATCCTAATTTTCACAAGGTTTCTGATTTGAATCACACGTAACACTTGATTTGAATCAAGTAACTCAACATCTTCATCTAAGAAGTCTAACTTGTGATTCAAGCCACACCTGATGAAATGACAAAAGTGTGATTTATTAGGCTAAAAAAGGAATACTATCATTGATAAAATACTTTAAATTATTGAGAAATGAAGAGTCTTAATGGTACAATACTAAAATAGTTGAAGCAAATACATTACAACTCAAAAGCGAATAGAATACAAACACATGAATATAAAATGATAAGTAAATAACAAATATGCAAACAAACTATAACAAATACATTCAAATTGGAAAAATATCTAAACAAGTAAAGGATACCATATGATAACTTGAATGCACTTTCATCTTAGGTTTAAATCACTTATAATGATTTAAAATTGAGCATTGACAAAAGTCAATGTAACTTTTATGCCTTATCTCTAGCATATATAAAATCCAATTTCTTTATCTCTTTAAAAATATAACTTTCATAATATTTGAAAACCCTTTAGTGTTTTGTCAATCACACAAAATTTCTCTCTCAAATTAACCTTGAAGAAAAACTTCCTTGAATGTTGATTTCTTAGGTTTTAAACAAGTATTGTGTGACATTGCGTCTAAAAAACGTCATCTTCAATCTATAACCAGAACTTCATTGTTGAGGGTTTCTCAACTCTAAGAGGTGGTGTGAGATCTAGTTGTTGAGGGATTCATAAGGTGTTCTAATATTCTTCTGAAGATTCTTTTCATTTTCAGATTGAAGAATCAGATTGTGATTGTGGTTTCTAGAGATTAACTTCCAGTGAAGGAAAATAAGAGTTTCTTCTCTAATAGGTCTTGGAGTTTCTAGCTTATTCAAAAAGTTCAAAGACTCAAAAAGGGGAATTTTGATAGGGCCGACTGAAGATCAATGCACAAGAAATCTTGGAATGCTCTTTTTAAAATAAAATCTTCAAGTGCGTTGGTTTTGAGAAGGTGGTTTGATTCAAGATTGAAAGTCTTGAAGAATTTGCAGTCTAGTGAGTTGTGTGGAACAAAAGGAGAATCAAGGTTCATATTTGTGTTGTTTAATAGTTTTCTTTAAGTTTTCAGTTTGTCGGTGATTATCTAATGTATCAAAAGACACTTGTAAATTTTATATTTATGGAGACTTAATGATTTCCGATGGATTTCTATTATAGACTGGACTATGTGCAAGTGAGTATGACACATCAAACCAATATAAATCATGGTGTTCACTTTCTCTATCCCTCTCTCATTTAATTTTTGCATATATTGTGCATGTTCTAAGATTTTAGCTGCTTTCTAGTTTGCATGTGATTAGGATTTTGTTTCATGTTTGAGTTTAAGTTTGCGTTATATTTAGTTTTCTAAACATTTTTTCTCGTAACTATTCGAGAAATTCGTAATGTAGATTGTTGTATTAATTAATCAAATTATATTCAAATGTCTTTGACTGAATTTAATTACATTAATTACCATTGTTGATTAGTTGATTTGTTACCATTTTTCTATTATTGAATTCATATGAACATCTATTCATTAAGAAGTTCTTTTTAAAACGCTTTTAAACTTCCACTCACACTCGTTTTAAATTTTTATTTTTGGAACAAAAATTGAAAAATCTTTTATTGAGAAATGTCTATTCAACCCCTTTATATACCATTTTATCCCATATTCAATTCAACATTAGCTATGACGAAGGATGTAGAAGATAAGATTATTTTTATAGAATTGAATCATGTGGTTTTTCTGCGTGACTTAAAAACCCTATTCTTTATTTGATTCAATAGAGAGTTGAGTGTCTTTAGCCTTCGAGGTAAGTTCTAGCTTTTTCTTATCATATGTGTGACGGTGTTTGGTATTGTTTGAACCTTTCTTGCATCTAGGCCAGTGATTTGTGCAAGTTTGTTTTGAAACTCGATATCTTTTTGAATTGTTGCCTTTCTTTTTGTTTTTTTTAGAATTTCTTAATACACCTCATAACCTTCTAGCGTACCGCGTGAAATTTCAGAAATATCCCTTGATTTTGTAAATGCATTTTCGAACATATCTCATAGACATATAATTCATTTATTTTTTAGCTACACCCCATTTTATGACAATTTATTTCGAAAATGTATTTTCGGAATTTTTCCCGACACTTATTGAAAATATGGATTAAAAGCCTCTGATATAAATATAGGACGCATGAAATTATATTATGTGAGAATCAATTTCTAGTTTCTTAATAAAATATACTCCCTCCGGTCTCATTTATAAGAAAAAGTTAACTTTTTAGATACATTAAATAAGTAATGTATTTGGACAATATATTGTCCAAATACATTACTTATTCAATGTATATAAAAAGTTAATTTTTTCTTATAAATGAGACCGGAGGGAGTATCTTTCAAAAATGCACATATTTTTATTCATTAGACGTTTCAGTAAGTTTATTTATATTATGGGCTAAGTTCATAGTTGCCAACTTGTTATCTATTTTCAATTTTCTTCAATATATTTTTGGTACTTCTATGTATTCTTCATTTGATCATATGGTGGAGCTTTTGTCATGTTTTTTCAATAAGTTTCAGAAAAAAAATTTTGGATAAATTTTGTTTCCGGAATAAATTTAGCTTTAAAATGGAGCATAGCTAAAAAATAAATGAATTATATGTGAATGAGGTGTGTCACTTTTTCAATAAGTTTCAAAATTTTATTTTTGGATAAATTTTGTTTCCAAATAAATTTAGCTTTAAAATGGGACATAACTAAAAAATAAATGAATTATATGTGAGTGGGGTGCGTCAACTTTCGAAAATAGGGATATTTTTAAAATATTATAAAGCCTTTTTTAACCATATAATAGGAAAAAAAATTTCTTTTGTTTGCTTAATGTGGTACTCCATGTGCTTATCTAGGTTCTCAGGGTATACATTTGGGCCTTTAGCTCTATCTATTTTATATATCTATAATTATTACCATTTAAAAAAAGCATTGCCACAATATCAAAGACTTGCCAACTCATTATTTAACTTCATAAATCACTGAATGTAGAGTTGAAATAGAAGAGCTAAAATTGTGAATAAATAGATATAAAGAAACTAAAAGTGTTACTCTTTTATTAGAAGATTTTGTTGTTTAGAAACATTGCAAACACCCTCTAACATTTGAACAACTTTTGTCATGGAAGGTCTCACAGACATGTCTTCTTGTATACACCACAATGCAACACTTACTACACAATGAACCCTATCTTCACATTCATCACTTAAGACAACCTTAATGTAAGAAACATAACCAGAATCAGTACCATCATATTTCTGAAAACTTACAACACTATCCAATAAGAAACAGTTCCCTGAATTTGTATGGAAGAACATTGCAAGACAAGAGCAATTTCCACGGCAAGATGTTTGACACCCAGCCAAATTGGTATTCGAATAGGACGGAAGAAAATCAATGGTTCTATGATTATCAATGGTTCTATGATTATCTTTCTGGATAGTCCAATAAGTTTGTAGAGTTTTGGAATCAGCTGAAAGAATAACATTACCAGATTTGATCTCCAGAACATAAGTGATGTTATTTGGACTTGGTTCATTGGTTAGTTTCATCCCCTCTTAGAGTAAACCTTAAGATAATAGTTTTCTATTTATAAAGGAGTATTGAGACTTGAAATGGTCTAAACTGTTCTCAACACCAATCCCACGATTTTCTAATTTTTCACGCGAATGAATCAAATCATCCATTTATTTTATTCGATCCACACTATTGGTTGGGTTGTATTATGAACAAAGCCATTAATTTCATTAAGCTTGAATGAACATGTATAATGGCTACATATAGATGGAGAAGAGCACATACTCTTCATTTTCTAGGAGTGAGTGTACATGATTAAAGTCTCTAATTGACTATGACAAACTCCTAACTAACTTATATCATAAGATATTAACTAACTTTCTATAAAATAAAAGTTATCCAACAAGTTAGTTATTGAAATAACTAATTTCTAACTACTTAATTTTTCATTGTGTTTTATCCCCTTAAGTTGGAGGGTAAATGTTGATCATCCCCAATTTGGATAAAAGAAAATGAAATGGTTGAGATATGAGTGACTTTGTGAAAATTTCGCAATTTGATTGGGATGAAGCTTTCCAACTTCAATCTTCAATACTTTTCTTAGGATTTCTCCCTTGCAATTATCTCTCTATTGTGTACATTATTATAGAATGAATGAATTATTTGTGAATGGTTCTTACCACTATTTATAGGGGTCTAAGCAGACATTTTTTCCAATGAGGTCATTAGTTCGCCTAACAGGCCTACTTTTCTTCACTAAGAAGTCATGTCCAACTCATCTAAGCGAGCTATGTCTGTCTCATTTTTCTCAGCGAGCCTCCTTTTTTGCCCAACGAGTAAATATTTTTCTTCAGCTTGAAATAACTTAGCCAAGTGGTCTTTAAGCCCCTCATGTTTCGCCTAATGAAAACACCATGTTTCTCCATGGAGTAACTTAACCATTAAGTCATCTGAATCGTCTATATTCGCCCAACAATTTTGTGTCTTTGTCTTGCAAGAATATCTCCAAAAGCATGATATGTTCCTATTATTTCTTTGAAAGGCAAGCCCTTGCTTCGTCTAGTGAATCTTCTGCTACTCAACATCCATGTTTTGTGATTTATTTGATATTTTCACTTGTGATTATGAATATCATAGTTCAAATATTCACATAAGTGTTTTATCTCTCTTTTGACAAATTGAGGGATTTTTCATATAATTTCTTGTTATGTTAATCAATAAGTGCTTATGTGAAACATGTAATTTTGACATTTATCAACTATCCCTAACTTATCATTTTGTTTATCCTCAAACAAAAGTCATACAAATGTCAAATGCTTCTAATAATTCAATTCATGCATACATCATTTAAGGTTTATGACTTAATAAAAAACTTTGGAATAAATCATTATAATTTGGCATGATTCATTTTAATGCAAATTCAAAATCAACATTACAATCATCCATAAATCATAACATGAAGATGAAAACCTTATTTAGCCAAAGTATGATTTCAATATAAGTTCATATCAACAATCAATTTTCATCAAAATTATACTCATTATTTCACTGGATATCACTAAATTGAGTGATGTTTTCCTCATTTTTTAGACAATGCAAAAACTACATATCAATTTTATATTTCACCCAAGCAATATCATAAAATATGCAATCATTCATGGATCAATAAAGTTTTTATTCGGGTTGTAATGTGGTCGGACTACAAAAAATATTGATCTTTATTTAGATTCAAAGGTGCCTTTGAAGATAAGAGAGTATAAGTTCATTTATATCCAACTTCCTTAAAAAATTATTTTCTTTGACATTTGTTTCTTTATTTTCTCTTTGTTTTTTATTTTTCATTGCTTTGTCAAACTACATTCATTTTTGTTTTGTTTTTTCATCACCAATGTCAACATACTTGGTTTCTTTTTCTTTCAAATGACCTTCTTTCTAACTTGCATATTATGACACCCTTTAAAATTAATGTTCTCCTATCCTTAAGAAAATGGAATTAACATTGTTTTTTAAATGGGTAAGAGTTATAATATTTTAAATTTTTTTTACACATTTTGACTTAAAAGAATTTCATCAAATGATCACTTTCTCATTAGGTAAACTTTACTTAGCCAAGTGGTTTTCACTTAATAAAGAAACATTGTCTTGACCATTCCCATGAACTCATACATATCACGTAATAGTATGATTCATACAAAATTAATAGATTTATATGCATGTTTACTCTCAATATATATGTAAAATATGAGGTTGCGCATAATTCACTGACTGAGTTTTTGTAATGATTTTGATTTTAATCAACATGTTTTCATAAAACAGGTGAAATATAAACTTAAGAAAGTAATAATTTCATGTAAATTCTATCATTTGTATGTGATCATAAAAATTAATCTTGAATAGAGCATTTAAAAATAACCTTTCATCATGCACTTGATTTTGATTTGTCATAAACCTAGATTGTTATGCACTTGACTATTTAACCATTAAACCACTTTATATTTGTTTCAAGTCAACTGTATTTCATAAACAAATTCCATAATATCTCAAAATTTCAAATTATCTAGAAAATAACTTATGCATTAGAACTTGAACATGTTCATATGGTGCAATTAAATAACTAAAAATAATTAAAAAAGTAAAATTAACAGATTTATGGTGAGCTTTAATAGTTATTGAAATTTTATTCATGAGGGGACAAATGTCGAACACAGTGCTAAACAAGTGGTCCAACATGTTAAACCAGGTTTAACACATAGATTGATAATAATGTAGAGTCAATGTAAAAGCAGTAAACAACATTAGATATTGGTAATCCAGTTCGGTGAAACCATACCTATGTCTGGATGACGCTCTACCCAAGAAAGGAAATCCACTTTTAGTAGCTCATTACACTTAGTATTATAGGAACAACAAGTTTGTGTTGTTCAAGACCTCTTCCTAACATTATCCAATAAACTTCCATTTAAGACTCTCCCTAAATATGAGAACTCCTATCACTTTCTTTCAATTACTAATCTCAAGTGATCAACTTAAATAATAACGCTATTGATTGTTGAATTTTCAACTCAACTAAGACAAACCAATAACTATGTCAAGTTACTGAAACATGAAGTGGTGTACACAGGGATTCTACTCTAACCCTTATTATGGCATTAACATGGAATAGAAGTTACAAAGACTCAAATCTAGCACAATGATAATAATCTTTGTGCATAAAATCCAAGTCTCAAGAGTGAGACTGAGCCTTCTTATATAGCAATGTCTTATGGGCTTTTCTTCTTTGGATATCTGATTTGATTGCCTAAAAAAATAGCATAAGTCTATTGGATACGATCTTCTACTCAAATATCTCCAACAATAAGAAGTGATTTATTTCTAATTTAAATCTCAATTATATCTAATTTCAACATCTCTAACTATCAAACAAATCAAAAAACCATTGCTAAAATATATGCAGCAAATTTGATCAAATCCTAATCTGAATTTCGCACTAAGTAACATCCATATGACATGTTGTCAAGGCCATATGTTGAGCTGCACACATGTTGAAGCATTTTGTTCAACATGTTGCACTAGTACATCCAAATTAACTCTTTATCATGAATTTATATATCTTCTTTGTAGAGTGAATGTTTGATAGAATAACTCATAACCATAAATGCAATAACATATTTCTGTTGTAACAGAACAAATATTACAACACTAATATTTGTCTGTTGTAAGAGACTGGATGTTACATCATTCATATTAGAACACTGGGCTTCATATGTGTCATTTATGCACCACAACTAGCTTAAACAAACACCATGTTATTTTGCATAATGCAGCCAATCCAAAAGGAACTTCAATCTTCCCCTTTGAAAATCTTTAGTAAAACAACTTCTTCAATCAGAAAATACACCTGAGTATCAGAGAACCCATGCTCATTACACACATCAGCAAGAAAAGTAAAACCATCTGAGCATATTAGCAACAACAGAAATAAACAATAGTTTGTAACATAAACATAAAATCATGAGGTAGTTACACACATGCGTTTGCATGTCATGGGTCATGAGGTAGTTAAACACACACGAGAATACAACACTATCATTATTAAGCTCCAAAATAGTCAGTCATGCAATCATTCAATATGCGTTAGTCACACACGAACACACGTTAGTTAGTAGTCAGTAGTGAAAGATCAAATACTACTAACAAAACAAAATAAGAACATCACACACAGATTTGGGCCATATGACAAGGCCAAATGTTATAGCATGTGTACTTTTCACGGAAAACCAGAATATAATATCAGCACACACAAATCTGAGCCAGATGACAAGGCCAGATGTTGCAGTATGTGTGCTTTCCACAGAAAACTAAAGAACTAGTAAGTACATATTGCATCAAATAGTACAAACCATATCTCTTCATAAAAAACTCCAGTGTTCAAATGTATTCATCAATCAACAACATAAAACAGGTAAGTAGATTAGATCAGTGAGAGTCCTACTAACCCCAATACCACCACTCCTCCTTTTTTTCCCTCCATATTTTGGAAAATAAATATCCAGAAGAACTAGTCAGTGGTTAGAGGATGTTAGTATGTGTCATACTCTAAATTTATCCTCTAAGTTTTTTAGTCGCATTAGCATAACATATTTTTCCTCATCTGATCACAATCTTTGATAAGCATATTCAGTCATCGCATTTGCATTTGCATTTAGGTTAACCAAAAGTAAATTTAAATCAGCATTTGTATCGTTTTAGAGTTAAAAAATACTCGATATTTCACTTCATGCATTTTTATCTCTTTACATTGTTTCATGCATTGCGTCAAATTGATTATATTTCAATAATATTGATATTTTTGTTCTAAAGGCAGATCGTTAAAAGCGATTTGACATTGTGCAAAAAATAAGCAGGCAAAATATTTCAAGTTTTCATCTTTAGTTGATTGTTTTATGAATTTACGTTACGCATAGATCATGTCAGTGTGCTCACTTTATTTTTCGGTGCAGTTTGCAATCTCTTTTTTAATTGTCAGCGTCTGTTC